TTCGTGGGAATTTCCTGGTGCTGTTAAGTAGTATAATAGAAGAAATCATGTAGTAGCGTAAAATGTCATTCCAATAGGAAGCGAACGTGTTTCATGTGGGAAGGGGCTGCATTCCCAGCCCTCTGTGTGGGATGCTGGAATATGTTCAGCATCTTCAGCCCCAGCCTGCAGGCCCCCGGGCACGAGCTGTTGTGGCTCTTGCCGTACTGCCGGGACATGGGGTGGTCGCTCTGAGTCCCAGCTGCTCTTAGTGTGGGTTTGGAGATATTGGATCCATGCAGAAGTTGGTGAGCACAAGAGCTGCATGCCCAATGCAAAGGTCAGCTTGTTCTTTGCATTGTGGTCTTCCTGTACAGGGTTCATGGTTGTCCTTGACTGCTTTTGTACTTTATTTACATGTCATCCTATGAATAGCATCCTTTTGGCTACTTCAGCTATATTTTGTGCCCTGGGAGGATGAGCACAATGGGGTGTTGCAGATTTTTGTTCTTGGTAATCTTCGTTGGAGGTACGAATGCTCATCTTCTCCTTAAACAGATCCCTTAATAAGGTGTCTTGAGTTAGGCACAGAAGTGGAGATATTTTAGATTTAGCGTTTATGTAGTGATTTACCTTCACAAATAGGTCAAAAACTGTTCATTTTTTCACTACATCCCCATCAATGAATAAATAATTGGTCTTACTGGTTAGCACATTTACATTTGAGCCACATAGAATCACTATTATGAGCAGGATGGGCAGAGAGAGAACTAAAACATGGTCTCACCTATAAAATAATAGAGCAAATAAAGCATGCATACTCTATATGTACGTGTGAGTATATAGGCACTTTCATTAATTCACTAATACCCAAATATTGATACTGTGAAGAATATAAGGATGAAAGGGAAAGCTGAAATGGCATAAAAAGGTCTGTTTGTAAGGTTATTTGCATTCTAAAGCCTTTCCTTTGTCTTAATCAAGGAGAATATTCCACACAAAGGCTTTTCATCACAGCTAGCAATTTCTCACAGCAAAACATTGACATCTCTAATTTCACGTTATCAGCTGTTTTGGACACCCGTTTCTATTTTCTGTAGACTGTGACACATCAGAGTGTAAAACAAAGAGGTTGGAAATGAGGAATTAGTGTTCAAAAAGTGTGTACTGACTGTTGCCAGGAGAAAGTGGAAGGAGAGAGCAGACAGTCCTCTCGTACTTTGTCTTTCCCTGTATTAACTATACAAAAAGTTTTATTCCATAATACAAGAACCTTCTGAAACACGCATATTAGCCAAAGATGTTTTCTCATAACAAAGGAGAAAATACACATTAATTAACACTATATATGATTTTTTCATTTTTGCATTGTCTGAATAGGTGATTAACTGGGGTACAGTTTACAAAGATAATTGTGCTGACAGCAATCAGCGGGCAGTAGGCAGGCATTGCTATTTTAATAATGACAATACAACTGAAAATAGTTTCCTGCTTGTTATGTCCATTAATAAGAGGGCTGTGCAATTGTAACAGGAAGCCCTCTATGCTAAGGTACTTTGAAGAGAGAAATTTGCTTTGCTGAAGATTTAGGCTTCCTTTTTTCACTCTCCGTGCAAAATACTATTTTTTTACAAGTACTAGAATGGACACTGGAGATGTCGAGGCATCCAGAAATTATCCATAGCCTCATCTATTAAACTATACATATACAAAAATGAAATTATTTGCATGTGTCAGTCAAACTGATAAAGCATCGGTAGAAATTGAGAAGACAGTAAACTCAGTGAGATCGCCATTGTAAAATTTCTACCACGTTTCTCACACGGTGAGACGCGGACTGTCCTCTCTCAGTGGAGTAAATAAAAGCCTCTGGGATGCTGGGGGTCTGCCGCCAGGCCAGGCTGCGGCTGCCGGGATCCCCTAGCCTCCTGTTGTCCCACCTTCCCCCTGCTGCCCCCGTTCTTCCTGGCACTCTCCTGCCCGCTGCGCCTGCAGAGGCGCATTGTGGCAGAGATTTAGCAGCGCTGGGGAGCAGGGCAGGGATTCCAAGGAGCCATGTGGCCTCCGAGCGCGAGCTCCTTTCCCCCCACGGCTTGCGTATCTTTAGCCCCATGGCTTTCTCGAGGCATGAAGATAGACGTGGTACGGCTTATCTGGCACAGAAAAGAAAACTTCCCAAGACAAGCGCTAAGGGAAATAAAAATATGGTTTATACTTAATGTCAAAGATACTTCAGAATTATTTAATTAACAGTAATCTAATCTTAGCACTAAAATAATTCTTTTCAATAAAATGGCTATGTCTATTACACAAGGAAGACGAGGCCTGCGGGAGAGCATTATGTGTTGTATCATGCTTTACGTGTTTCTTATTTAACACGTTAGGCCGGTTACACCAACATACTTTTCTATGTAAAACTTCTGCTAGGCGTATTAATGTTATCTTCAAGTGCATGGACACAACTCCACATGCTGGTCAAAGGACACATTGCACAATGAATTACTGTTAATATTTAAAATCTGCTCCACAGCGTAATTGCTTGCAGTTACTATCCTGGTGGTTTTATACATAGAGGGAAAAGGAGTTCAGGAGATAACAAAATGTTTTCCTCCATTTGCTACATAAAATAGCCAGTGCCAACTTTCCATTCATACATGTGGAATGGAAAAAGGCAAATCATTCTCATCTCTCCTTTAAACAACAAGCCTGTATATTTGCTACCCTGAAAGCGCTGTATCATTTCGGCTTTGTCAGCTAGGCAGCTATCTCATTTACACTATGTATGAATTTAACGTTTCTGGTTTGGATGTTTACTGATAAAATTACAACCCCAACTGCTAAGAAGTCCTGCAGAGTCTTACCTATTTAGATATACACAGGAGTGTTTAATGGCTGGCCCAAGCTAGCCCATTTACTTATTTTTTTAAATACTTTCCATTAAAGAGCGAACAGCCTCAAACATATTAACTGGCCTATCCCATAGCTTGCAAAATCATTTGCTGTAAAGCATGCCTGATCCAGGCCCTTTTTACTTCCTGACCTACATAAACCTGGACCACAGAACTACTACAGAGGCTGCTAAATAAGGAAATCCTGCATTTGGGTTCCCAATCCAGTCCACTTACATAAACTGCAGTGGATTTTTTTCCCCCAGTACTTAGCAAAATCCCATTTAAAAAGCTAAAAAGCAGGTCTAGCGTGTTGACTGAACTTACTGTTGCCCCACTAAAGATACACACTTTGTGAAGCAGATGTGTTTAACATACCCAGCTTATATATGCTCTGACACTGAGTCCAGCTTGCAACCTGAATGCAAAATATTTGACCCGCCAGAAAACCGCATCCCTTTCTACTTGAAGAATTTGTCTCATACAGTTCCCATATTAGAATGACGTCCCCGTTGTGGGAACTGAAGGCCCTGGCCCCATCCGGCTCCCTCAAGAGCGAGCGGTAGCCGCCAGGCTGGGGTTTGGGCGGCTGCCCCACGCCGCCTCAGCGGGATCAGGAACACCTCGGGGGAAGGCGTCCGCGGCGTCGGGGGAGTTACTGGCAGGTGACCAGAGTATGAACAAGCAGTTCCTGCCCTCTCCCCGATCTCGCTCTTTCGGGGCCCTCAGAGACGAGGGAGGTGCTGGTGCGGATCGCAGAGAGGCAGGGCGCCTGCCGCCCGGGCCCCTGCTCAGCTGACACAGGGAGCCATCTCCCCACCTCATTTCACCTTGATTTACACACGCAAGGAGGAAATACAACCACGCTAGTGCTTGTAGTGTTTGGTTTTTTTTTTTTTGCATTCACTTGTTCCAAAACCAGCATAATTAAAGCTGCCGTCATCAACCCAGAAAGCATACTCGAGGTAACAGCACACCTGCAGTATTCAGACTTTTATTTTTCCCTCAGTTTTGCTGCTTTTTCCCCCAAAACACTGGGAAGACGCAGTTTCCTCAGCAACTGTATTACTCCGTCATGTCTCATGTCATGATCACTCTCTTTTTCTGTTGTGAATTTCTCAGCTTAGACTCTCCACAGGCAAATAGCATTTACTTAAGTCACGCGACTACTCGTGATCTTTATTCACCAGCTGGCCGTTCCCCAGCACCCTTCCCCCGGGGAAGGCTCCCCGCCTCGGCGCAGCTCGCCTCCA